GTAAAAGCAATAACCAGGGACTGCAAATGTAATTCAGAGGTCGACCTCTTGTTGGCATGTGTTGAGCTTTATCCCCAGCACCACACATACAAAATGATACCTAGGGTGTGGTATACAGTAGGTACTCAGTTTTGCTTTCTTGTGTGTGTGAGGTGGGGTATGTGTGGTACTAAAGATGTGACGTTGGGGCTGGGAAGGTGGCTCAGTGGTAGAGCGCTTGCCTTGCATGCATGAGGCGCTGGGTTCCATTCCTCAGCACCACATAAGCAGACTAAGCCAGAAGTGGCATTGTGGTTCAAGGGGTAGAGTGCCGGCCTTGAGCTGAAGAGCTGAGGGACAGCGCCCAGGCCCAGAGTTCAGGCCCCACGACTGGGCCCTCCCCCCCCCAAAAAAAAGATATGACCTTGTGCAAACCTTCATAAGTCCTTCAGAATTGAGACTCAGTTCTAAACTTTTCAACGTGGGAAAAAAGCCTTGTGAATGTTCAACGTTGGGGAGAATTACCTGGAAGTTTTCCACATAAAAATGTTTTTAAAATGTCTGTCCAAGCAGACTCTCAGCACATGTTTCTGCTATTGGTGTGATATGAATGTTGGGTGGTGGGGTGTAGTTCTGTAGAGCATGTGTTGCTGCACCTGTGATAGGCATTACTAATCAATCCTGGAGCCTCAGAGTACCCCTCCTGAGTGATTCCCCAAGACAGGATGGAGGTACAAAGCTGACCTTTTGTGTCTTTCTGCCTACTCCATCTTGCATGGTCCTGGGGCTGGAACCCCAGCCTATCAGATGCGGCCAAGCTACCACTGAGTCACATCCTAGCCTAGTTATCCCTTTGATTAGAGCTAGGCACAGTTGGCCCATGCCAATATTCCTTGTTATCGGGAAGCTGAATGAAGGAGGAGGATTGCTTGGGCCCAGGAGTCAAAGAGCTAACCCCATGCTAGGACCATAGTGAAGCCAAACAGCTCTAAATTTAAACAGATTGAGGTTTCGCATTGAGTTTCTCCTTTCAAGATCTGTCTGTATCATGAAGAAGAATGATACCTTGAAGTGTTTCTCCCACAGTGCCTGGCACTGGATCATGCTCAAATGGGGCACACTGGTGGCTAATAAAGGATGAGGCGATGGTGACGGGTGGGACAAACCCGCCTCTCCTTCCCACGCTTGTGCCCATGGCAGACATTACTAACAGATCCCAGAATGTTTCCCAGCTGTCGGCACATGTAGCTTTAGATCTTTTTGCAGGCTACTGTGCCCAAATTTTGGAATTCGCCATCAACTAGAGAAGGTGCCCAGAAGCATTAAAATGGCATATCTGAGAATACAAAGCTGGCAAATGTTAGAGCCGGTGCCAGCATTGGTTGGCAGTAGGTGTTGGAAATAGAGACTCTGGATCAGGAAAACTCATACACAAATCTGTCATTTCTGTGAGCCATTTATATGCTGCATGGCCTGGGTCTGGGGCAGTGTTTAAAACCAGCTGTGTTCTCAGCTTCCTCGTGTACTGGGCATGGAGGTGGGATGGGGAAGGAACATCTTTTCAGTATGGTTATGAATGAGAAAAGAAAAAAGTGATGCACGTAGAACGTTTCACAGTGCCAGGTGTGCAGTAGTGCCCAATATTTGGGCAATAATGGTATGGCTTTTTGAGTAAGATAAGGCTAGAATAAGGGCTGGGAATGTAGCTTAGTGGTAGAGTGTTTGCCTAGATTCCTCAGTACCATATAAACAGAAAAAGCCAGAAGAATCACTGTGGCTCAAGTGGCAGAGTGTTAGCCTTGAGTGAAAGAAGCTCAGGGACAGCGCCCAGGCCCTGAGTTCAAGTCCCAGGACCAGCAAAAAAAAAAAGGAAAAAGAAAAGCTAAGCATTGGTGGCTCACGCCTGTCATCCTAGCTACTCAGGAGGCTGAGATTTGAGGATCACGGTTCAAAGCCAGCCCGGGCAGGAAAATCTGTGGGACGCTTATCTCTAGCCACAAGAAAACTGGAAGTGGCTCTGTGGCTCAAGTGGTAGGGCACTGGCCTTGAGCTTAAGAGCACAGGGACAGCGCCCAAGCCCAGAGTTCAAGCCCTACGACCAAAAGAAAAAAAAAAAAGAAAAGAAAAAAAGAAAAGAGGAAAGGAAAAGAAAAGAAAGAAAAGGCTAGGATGAGGCTCACCTGCTGGGTGTTGGCATTTCTGCGTCCCTGACAGACACTGCTAATTGAGCACAGAAACCTTTCCCACAGATAGGAAATGTGGCTTCTAATCTAGCCAATTACTTTCAGTTTTCTTTTTCTTTTTCTTTTCTTTTCTTTTTTTTTGTCAGTCATGAGGCTTGAACTCTGGGCCTGGGCGTGCTACTGCTTGAGCCACAGTGCCACTTCCGGTTTTTTAGTGGTTTATTGGAGATAAGAGTCTCACAGACTTTTCTGCCTGGGCTGGCTTTGAACCCTGATCCTCAGATCTCAGCCAGCTGAGTAGCTAGGATGACAGGCGTGAGCCCCTGTGCCCAACTCTTTCTATCTTGTTCCCCCTCCCCCCACTTTTTTTTCCTTCTTCTTCTTCTTTCCACTAGGGTTTTCAGAAGGCGAACCTATTTGCCAGCGACATCATAGAAGATAAAGGGGTGTTGTTGCTTACCTTCTCGAGTCCATGACAGACATTACCAATCAATCTCTCTACAGGACCCTTCAGATATTCATTACCAAGCATTTTTACTTTGCCGTAACGTAAAACAAAGCCTCAAGGACATAAGGAGAAGCCGAGCATTATATATATATATATATAACATATATATATATTATCTATATGTCTAATCCTAGCTACCCAGCTGATAGAGCTTGGGAGAATCAGGGTTTGAGGCCAGGTCAAGTACAAGATGCCTGAGCCCCCATTCCCACCCCATCTTAAACAATAACGAGGCATGGGAGGATACACCTGCATTCCAGCCATTAACAAGAAGCATAAATCGGATTGTGGTTCCGGCTGGCTTAGAAAAGTGAGAGCCTATTTCAAAATTAACAGCAAGGAGGGCTGGAGACGTGGCTCAAGTGGTAGAGTGCCTTTTAGCAAATGAGAAGTCCTGAGTTCAAATCCCAGTCCTAACAACCGAAGAATATAAAGAACCTATTTGTTGAGTGGTGAAAGCCAACTCAGTTATCTGTCACGTGTCATAATTGGGGGAATTGGCGGCACAGTCTAGTTTAGAAAGGCAGAACTTTATTTTTTTTGGGGTCCGGTCGTGGGGCCTGAACTCTGGGCCTGGGCGCTGTCCCTCAGCTCTTCAGCTCAAGGCGAGCTCTCTACCACTTGAGCCACAGTGCCACTTCCGGCTTTTTTCTTTTTGTTTATGTGGTGCTGAGGAATGGAACCCAGGGCCTCATGCATGCAAGGCAAGCGCTCTACCACTGAGCCACCTTCCCAGCCCCCAAGAATGTACTTTATTGTTATTATAGAAATGATATACAGAGGGGTTACATTTACATGTGTCATGTAATAAGTAGAAAGGTGTACCTTTTTTTTTTTTTCTCTCTGTTGTGGGGCTTGAACTCTGGGCCTGGACGCTGTCTCTCAGCCCTGCAGCTCAAGGCGAGCATTCTAACCCTTGAGCCACAGCACCACTTCTGGTTTTCTGGTGGTTCATTGGAGATAAGTGTCATGGATTTTCTTGCCAGGGCTGGTTTTAAACTATGATTCTCAGATCTCAGCCTCCTGAGTAGCTAGGATGACAGGCGAGGGCCACCATTGCCCGGCAGAAAGGCATACCTCTGAGGTCTAGTGCCACCCCCAAAGTGCTGTGTGACCTCCCAAGTTTTTTAACATCTCTGAGCCTCAGATTCCTCATCAGTCTAACTGTGTATTTGTGGGAATTCAATAGCAAGAAGCATAAAAAAAAATACTGCACAGGTTGTACAAGAGAGGCTCACACCTGTAATCCTAGCTACTCAGGAGGTTGAGTTGGAAGCCAGTCCAGGCAGATAAATCCAAGAGATTCGTATCTCCAATTAACCAGAAAAAAAAAGCAGAAAAAGCCAGAACTAGTAACTTGGCTCAAGTGATAGAGCACCACCCTTAAATGAAAAAGCTAAGCAATAGTACTTAGGCCCTGAGTTCAAGTCCTAGGACCAGCATACTCATTCACACACACACACACACACACACACACACACACACAAAAAAAAACACTTTCCAAGTTTTGGTGGCTCACACCTGTCATCCTAGCTACTCCTGAGGCTGAGATCTGAGGATCACGATTCAATCCCTGTCCAGGCAAGTCTGTGAGATGCTTTCTTTCCAATTAACCACCAGAATATCAAAAGTAGAGCGATGGCTCAAAGTGGTACAATGCTAGCAAAACAAAAAGGCTCATGGACAGTGCCCAGGTCCTGAGTTCAAACCCCAGGACAGACAAAAAAATACAAAAGCATGGGGCGTGGTTCAGTGGTAGAGCACTTGGCTAGCACGTGCGAAGCTCTGATTTTCATCCCCTGCAGTGCACGCATGCACGCACACGCGTGCGCACACACACATTAAAAATAAACCTTAAAATCAAGCAACCTATATAAACAAACTGTCATGTGTTGGCTTTATCCTACAAAGTCTTGGTTTTAATTTTGAAAAATATCAGTGAACATATGGCATTAATATATTAACCCTAAATCCATGTCCATAGGTATAAAAAACACAATGCTCTTTCTTCCTTTTTCTCTTTTTAAAATCCAAGCAAAGTCAGGCAAACAGCACAGGCATACAAGCCCTGCTACTTAGCCTGAAGACAGGAGAATTGGAAGCTCAAGGTAGCCCGGACAACGTAGCAAAATCAATCTCAAGGGAAAAAACAATCTTGTTAGGGCACTAAACCGAGACTCCCCACCCTTTTTTATCTGTCAGTTGTGGGGCCTGAACTCTGGGTCTGGGCGCTGTTCCTCAGCT